CTCTTGTTTTGCCACAATTCAGTTTTCCAAAAACACAGTTGCTGAACAATGATGAACTCACGCCAGAATCCTCAAGGCCCTTTCCCTGCTAGACATTCAGTATTTAAGATAAAAATGGTACAGAGACAACAAAGTGATAACTTTTAATATAATGAATTATTTAAATCAGCTCAAGAGGTAGAATTAAAATTAAGTACGTGCCCAAAAACTCAGACTCAGGTTACTGCAAGGTTTTATTGTAAAACAAAAATATTTTTTTCTCTACCTGGGGAGCTGTTTGGTTGCCCCGTTTAATATTCATTTAACAGTCCTCACATTGTAAAGAAAAAGGTTTAAAAAAAACCAACTAAAAATCCTCATCGTCCTGTGCTTGTATGTGGTGTAATGTATCGACTTTAAGGCATGTTGGATACCTTATTACCTGACTAAAAATAGGAGTTTCAGGGCCAGTGTGAGATTGGATGTAGCAGCTACTGTGCTGTGCTGCAATGTGTTTGGAGATGAGGGGAGATTACAGAGACAGTCACAGAAATTGCCCTGTGCTGCTGTAGCTGCCACTGAACTGGGTCACTCACACTAAAGCCTTTTCACACTGAAAACTACAACTAGGCAACAAACATTTTGCCACACTTTTCCAACTTCTTTCAGCTTGCAAGTTTCCCTGCATCTCTCAAAGTCTGAGCTTTCAACCACTGCTCACAGCACGTCATAAAAGACAGAATCTAGGGCAAAATGGGTGATGATGTTGTGTATTTCTGTATGTTTGTGAGTGAAAGGAAGGGTGCGAAAACAGGAAAGAACATGTGTTTTGGTGTAAATGGTGGGAATGGTGGCTATGTTGTGCCCACTACTTGTGCATTAGTTGTGCCAGACAGTCATGGTCAGTCAAGGGGTGCAATCATAAACTCACAGGAGGGTCTGTTTCACTGAACCACTGCTTGACGATACTCTCTGCTGAGCTTGGATACAGAGGAATGACTGTTGTTTGTCACTGCCTGCAAGGGAATTCAAGTGTAAAACAACAGTCATAACAAGTCACTAAAGACACAGAGTGACTTTACCAACTTATATGTTGACTTTTTGACAATCTGGGATGCCCAGCATGAGGAAAATGTACAGTATAACCAAGTTTTATAACAAAGTTAATAGCAGCTTTCTGAAACAGATACAGTCATCCCAGAAAGAATTCATTAACACCAAAAGCAATTACCTTGCTTTATGGATTATTTTGGTGTTTAAGTAAATAAAAGAGACAGTACCACACTCTGTAATAATCACTCTCCCCAGAAAAGTATAGCGACCTGCATCTCTTGCTCATTATGTGGAAGGCTTTTTTCACCTTCATGTCTATCTTTAACAGAATTTTATAAATTGAAATTCACCTTAATGCACTGACACATGAAAAAAAACAAACACAATCTGTATTCACTGAAAAAAACATTGACACTGTTATTCTCAGGGGGACTGCAAGCATATTCACCCTCTGTGGAAACACTCCACCCTGGAGCAAATGTCTTTGAGAGACTTTGATGGTCTGCTCTCTTTTTTCCTGCCATAGATTATTTATTTAAACTCCAGTGAGTTCAGATGAATGCATCGTTAATTTGCACCTCAGTGAGATACCTTCATGCTACATCAAACTCTAAATGAGGCACAACTGTTTGACACCATCGCTCTTGCTAGCTTTTTAATCAGCTTGTCTGAAGTTTTTTCTTGAACATCACAAAGGTCAATTTAACTGATGACCAGCCCACAGGGCTGTAGAGATCATATGGACACTGAGCTCATGTCCTCAGTGTCTTTCCTATGAAAGAAATGTTCTTTTCCATTATTTTTCAGTCTCTATATATTTAAATTTTACTACTATAAGGCTGAACCCCCCCCTTAACAACTTCTGTTTTGGTGTCTGGTCAAAGCTTTCCGGGTGGGGTGGTGACCTACAACTCATGACAACAAAGAAGAAGGAGTGACTGAAATCAGCTGTTTGGGTCTTTGGGTTCGGTGGAAGTAAAAACTCTTTGACCAATTGTACTGGCCAGCACTGGCTTATTATTTTCAGTTCATGTGGTGTAAAAATGACAATTTAGACGCTGTATTATAGCAATTATTTAGAGTAGAAAATGATTAGAAGAGTATTTCCCTGCATTTTTAATTGTTCATTGTTGGTACCAGAGATCACAATCTCTTATAAAATCAACTGAAAGTAAGATTAGAACAGACAACTACACTGACATATCCCCATGTGAAAAACAACGTTCTATAACCTTGATCATATAATATCCTCATAATGTGTTATTGCTTTAGAAAATGCATCATCATAAGATGACAATCAGCTTTTTGTTTAGTGTGCTACACATGTCTTTGAGCATGACCAACTGACCCAAGAACCGCACTACTGACCTAAAGGTGAACGACAAATACCTTCTGTATGTTCAAAAACATCCACATGATTACACAAGACTCATGTGGCTATGGCATATGAGTGGTCATGAGTCTTTTTGGCGTTTCTGCTCCAAAGATATATTTTTTTAAAACAACACATTTTCTCATTAGGCAACCAAAACATTAGAGGTTTTACAAATCAAAGAGTCAACAGTATCATAATAGTTTGAGTGGCCTTAAATTCAGAATACAGGTGAGGGAAGAAAAGGAGGAGCTGTCCGTGGTTCTAATTAAGGAATAGTAACTGTCCTTATAAACTGTATGCTGTTGTTCTCAAATTCGTCACTTTACGGGGCAGACTGCTTTCAAAAGATATATATTTTGGACTCAGTTGCCGAAGATGCAGCAAAACAGCCCACAACTAGTAAAAAAAAAGTATGTGTGAAAAGTGTGTTTTCTGAAACTTCTACAATTTCAGCTGCTAAAAAAAAAAACAGCTGAGCACCACAGATGTGGAAAATAGTAAAAAAAAAAAAAGTATGATTCTGAAGAATACTGAGCTGAATATATGTGACAAGTCAGTTCCAATTAAAAGTTTCTGATGAGGAAATGAACAAAAATAGAAAGAGAGATATGATTGCTACAGCCATTTGAGATGAGAAAAGAATATATAACAGCAGATATATTACTCTGAGTAATTTCAGTCCCTCAGTTTGGAAAATGGACATTGTTCTGGTGTGTGTGTGTGTGTGTGTGTGTGTGTGTGTCTGTGTGTGTGTGTGTGTGCATAAGTGTGGGGGCTATTCAGAGTCTGATTGCATAATTTATATATTTCCTGACCAGACTACAAATTCATTTCAGAAATATCATCAGGCTCTTGACTAGCTTATTGGCCCCTTTGCAGCCTTAGTGAAAGCAATAGACCTTTTCACAGCAGCTATTTTAACATGAAATAGTAGGGTAAACTCAGGTGTTACCAGTGATACTAATTAGGGTTCCTTTCCACTCAGGGCAAACAGATTCAGGGTGCTGCTATTGTGTATGTTCGCTCACTGGAAAAGCTCTGCTACACTAAATGTAGAACCTTAATTAGTGTCATTGGTAATACCTCGTGTTCACCCTACTATTTAATGCCAAAATGGCTGCTGTGAAAAAGGTCTATGGGTGAACTTGAGAACTGACATTCATACACTGAATGAGTGAGAGATTCACAGCCTCATGTGTAACTGTCTGCCACTGACCCAATGTCAATATCAATGACAGCGGTTTTCACACATCAGAAGTGTCAGAAATGGCAGGATGCAATGTGTGTGAAGTCCTATGCTATGATGTTAAGGTGTGAGGTATAGTGGTACCACTTTCTAATAATGCACCCATCAGAGAGGGTCCATAAGTTATATGCAATTGCTTTATTAATCATTTACAAATGCTTCATAGTGCAGGCATAAACCATTAATAGGGGGAAAAAATCCTTTATCCACAGCTATTTGGCTTTTTAGACCATTGTGCCCACCCCTCCAAACGACAATGTGGCCTAAAATAATTTTTGTAACAACTTATTGACATTTACAGCTGCAGCCTTAGATTATTATGAGAACCATTTATCAATGACTTGTTAGCATTTATAAATGCATACGACTTTCGAACATTTGTTACTGGCTTTCAACATTTCACCCTTTATTGATGACTTAATTAACATTTGTAAATCAGAATCATAAATACTTTATTGATCTCTGGAGGGGAAATTTGTTAAAGGTTAGAGATTTGTTAAGGTAAATGCAACCTTGAACTGCAGTGTGTACCTAACAATGATGATTGTTCATCTCTATGACATGATAACAGCTTTTATTACAACACCAAAATCACCGTCAGCTTTGCTCAGAAGGACAAACCTGAGAAAAAGTTCATATCAAGATGAAAGATGTGTTCTTGTGGGCACATTGTGTTCTGCATTCTGTTCTATTGATTTTATTTTATGGGAAACTGAAGCAAACACTGTGTAAATTTCAATAAAAATACAGCAACGATTTACTTTAAGTCCCCCTACAATCAATTAGCAGCACGTCAACATGTAATAAAATGTAATAAATGGTAATAAAACACCCTATAATGTGGTTTTAAGCATATATATGTTTATTAATGTGTTTGTCAGCAAATATAACTAATGCTGTGGGTGCTCCTAAGTGAAGACTGGTGTATTAAGTTATAACTGTTGACAAATATTGTATATAATCGCTTTTTTTATTATCCTGTTTTCACTAACGTTCATAACCTCAGACACTGGCTTATTAGAAAGGTAGAAACTTTTGATACTTTACTGATGACTTATCAATGTCTTGACAATCAATAAAGCTAGTGGTTACAACTTATAAACCCTTTTTAAATGTGATGTATTAGAAAGCTGTACCAGTATAGCAAAAGGAGTGACAGTTGCTAATTTTGCATTCTGTGATATAAAAGGTGGTATTTGTTCCTACTCAAATCAGAATCTTTAAGGTGCACAATATGTAACAAATAAGAAATACTGGGCACTATGACCCAGCAGATAGCCTACTCTTCATCGAGAGAGAAAAAAAACAAGGCTGTGATCAGTGGTGCTTGTTTGATGTCAGAGTCTGTATAAAACTGAGACTTTGGGCTGGCTCACCATTCAACCACAGGGGGCCTGAGGAGACACAGCTCTGGAGAACCTCTGCCCTACATGCGGATTATCTGTGACATCTTTCCAGATGTTGGGACATCAGGACGCGCTGCTCATCAGTTACAGACAAGCCTCCTCTGTCTTTTATGTTGTGCACAACAGTTGAGAAGTTTATCTTTTATGGCTACAAAACGGAAATGTTTGAACGGCGTGGTATGGATATTTGCTTTCATAATTTGGCATATGGACATTAAAACCTGATACAGAAGAAAATGAGTAGGGAAGGAAGTAATCAGTGTTTGTATTTCAGACTGATTGTGCCATTTATCTGACCGGATGGCACGTGTAAAGGCGGCGTTCGTCAAGAGAAAGGGCACCTTAAATGTCAGGCATCTCAGAGGGTGACATAAAATATGACAAAAAAGTAACTAAAAGTTATGGAGCGCTCCGGTCAAATCGAGCCAACTCAGCCGGTGAACAGCACAAACGACAGTTTTATTACAGATGCATCCACTGTGGATGTCAGCGCAGAGAGTCTCGTCTATCAAATCAGCCTGGCTGTGATTCTCTCCATTATCACACTCGCCACCACTTTATCCAACGCGTTCGTCATCGCAACAATCTCCCAGTCGAAGAAACTGCAAACTCCTGCGAACTTTCTGATCGCCTCTCTGGCCATCACCGACCTGCTGGTGTCCATTCTGGTGATGCCCATCTGCGTCCTGTACACGGTCATCCACACCTGGACGCTGGGGCAAATCGTGTGCGACATCTGGCTCTCCTCGGACATAACGTGTTGCACCGCGTCCATCCTCCACCTGTGCGTAATCGCCTTGGATAGGTACTGGGCCATCACGGACGCGGTGGAGTACTCCAAAAAGCGCACGCCGGGGCGCGCAGCCGGGATGGTGGCCACAGCCTGGGTCATCGCCATCTCCATCTCCCTGCCGCCTCTCTTCTGGAGGCAGGTGAAGGCGGAGGAGCTGACCAGCTGCAGCGTCAACACGGATCATATTTTCTACACCATCTACTCCACCTTTGGGGCTTTCTACATCCCCACCTTGCTGCTTATTGTCCTCTACGGACGGATTTACGTGGAGGCTCGGAAACGGATCCTGAAGCAGTCCCCCAAGAAGGTGGGGAAGAGACTCACCTCGGCGCACCTGGTCACCAACTCCCCTGGATCCGTGGCGTCCACAACCTCTCTGCAGTGCGGGAGGCACGACACTCCGTCCAGTGACACTGGGTCTTCAACAAGCGAGAACCAGGTGAAAGTGACGGTGTCGGACGCGCTTTTGGAGAAAAAGCGCATTTCAGCAGCCAGAGAGAGAAAAGCGACAAAGACTTTGGGGATAATCCTCGGCGCTTACATCGTTTGCTGGCTGCCGTTTTTCATTTACACATTGGTGGTGGCCACATGTGACACATGTTTTAATCCCGAGTTGTTCGACTTTTTCACCTGGTTGGGATATCTGAACTCCCTCATCAACCCGATCATATACACAATGTCCAATGAGGACTTCAAGAAAGCTTTCCATAAACTTGTGCGCTTCAGATGCTGCAGGTCATGAACGAATGTTACTTCAGTCTCCTTTTAGATTAATTTATGTATTTATTTTTGGATATCAAAACCAAAAAATGTACGAGATTATAGAATAGTAAGAATGCCATAAACAATACAATTTTAGGGGGTCTGATTAAGACATTATAAATTGTGCATGCAAAAGAAAAAACATCTTAAGTCATTCGGTCCAACCCGGGTATAATTCCAATTTTTATAAGCAAATAAAGAAAATCTGGAGCAAAACCGTTTCACATAATTTAAAGCACTGCCAGGCAAAGTTCTTTAAAAGCTTGTTTTCATTAAAAAAACTAAAATTTAATATAGAAAACAAAGCTAATGGTGAAGAAAACTAACTTTACGCACCAGAGAAAGTCACTTAAACTTGTCATATAAGCTCCTCTTGATGGAGAAATGTGTTGTTGGACAGATTCAGTGATGGACTGTTAGTATTCTGTGTGGATTCCTTTTTGGGTGGTACAGTAGCGTTGTTCTCATGCGACGACTGACCTATTAATGTGAATGAGCAGCAGAGATCAGAAAAATCTGACATGTCAAAAATATAAAAATGTGGCTATCCAGGATCCTTTTTGCATTATGTGTACAAATACAGCAGTTTTATTTTTAAAACTGAGAGATCGTCAAATGGCTATGTATCCTGAGAAATGATAACAGTGGGGTGTATTATTTATTATGGTCACGGACTGCTTGCTGCTACCCTCTATGGTTATCTTTTTTATTTAGAAAGGTACACTCATGAAAAAAAAGAAAAGATTCATATCAGTGTCAAACAAAGAAACTGTAGCTGATATTTACCCAGCAGAGCTGAAAGCTGATCATAAGTTCAATCTTGCAGAACAAACACCACCCTGTTTTACTGTGTGTGTGTGTGTGTGTGTGTGGGTCTGTTTGCTGCTACATTAAATCTGTATCTACAGTATGTTATGTTCATCTGTGAAATGGTTTACCATCTTATGGCTATAGAGACTGATTTGAATAATAGAGTCTGGCCTGCCAAGCTATAAAAATAATGCTGAGGATTTGTCAGCATTATGTGAAATAAAGGTATGTTGTTATAGGAATTTATCTGTTCACATTCAGAGAAGCTGTGCAATAAAGGCTTTAAAGTATTTGTTTGGCACAATTGTTCTGTGAGTGAAAGTTTTAATTCAGTTTTAAATGGGGTCGAAACTTCTTCCAGATCATAAATACATACATTTAATTTCCTATTTATTGTTGCCATGAAGAAAGCAGCACAGATACTCTGACAGATCATTTAGTTTTATCACTTTTGTTACCTTGAAATGTAACAAGAGATTAAATGAATGGCCCTGGAGTATCATAGTTATGTCAAAATAAAATCCAACAACCTATTGAAAGACGTGGCAGGGCATCAAACAAAATATAGTGTGTCATTTCACATGTGGGTGGCTGTTGCTCAGGACGTAGAGAGGCTTTTCCACTAATCAGAAGAGGTTTAGCGGTTCGACCCCCGGCTCCTCCCGTTGCATGTCAAAGTGTCCTTGGGCAAGTTACTGAACCGCAGATTGCTCCTGATGCTGTGCATCGGTGTGTTAATGTAAATTAATGAGTTACTGTTTGTAATGGACCTCTGCCATCCCCGTATAAATATGGGTGAATGTTGCATGTAGTGTAAAAAATGCTTTGAGTGGTCGGAAGACTATGAAGGCGACTACAAGTACAGTCCATTTACCATCCTGACGTTCCTCAGGATGAGATTTTGTTGTGGCTGGGATTCTCATTATGGTTTGAACTCTCCACCATTTTCCTGCCCTTTCTATCTCTCTGCTGCCTTCCTGCAGGCACAGGAGGACACGATCTGTGTAGACAACAGTTGTCACAGTTCAATAAGTCATGAGGCTGACAGTGGGCGATGCTTTTCTTGTGTACTTCACATACACATAATGGGCCACTCATTTTGTCAACACACGCTCAAACACATACACATGCATGGACCCTTTGGCTTTCCAAATATGAATTTCCATATGGCTAACCCTAACCCTAACCCATGCATGAAAGATGAGTGCACCTGAGCAGGATTTTCTGCTGCAGCTACAGTATGTTGACTGAAGAAAGTGATGGCATGTGCATTCTATGTTAATATATACATATAGCTTCCCTCAGGAGTATTGGATATAAACAAAGAAACCTCTGTTGAACAACAAGGAATAACAAGTCCTTTGGATTTTCTCAAGGTCAGTCACAGGTTTAAAGTCCTTGCAGGCCATCAACTTTAAAGTATAGAAAAAAGAACGCCCAGAAAGTGATGATTCAATTTGATGTTTGATGGTATAAACACATAAACAGAAAAAAAACAATTATGGCCTATTTTTTCCATTTAAACAAAATGAATACAGGTGCAGGACAAAGAAAAAGTAGAGGTGGTATGCACACTGAAATTTAGGAGCAAAATGTTACTGCAGCATTTTTACCTTCAAGGTCTCTGTCAGGCATACATCCTTCTGAATAAAAACAGGCTCACAATACATAATGTCCTAAACAAAGGAGATTGTTAGCAAGATAATTAAAAAAAAAAGAGGACAAAGAGTACAAGGTAGAGCTTAAACATGAAAAGACACAAAATCAGTAAGGGGCTATTGATCTCCATTGTAGGCATTTTTGTCTTTTTATGAAATGTATCGTAACACTTTACTTTATTTTACCTATGAGTGCTCACAGGCACAGTTGTTGACAAATACATTAATAAACATCTATCTGCTTATAACTACGTTATAACGTGTTATAAACCATTTAATAAAAGTTAATATACTACTTATAAAGGCTAAGTAGGGGAGGTTACCAACATAAAGTGTTACCAGATATATTGCAAAAAGAAAGATAAAAATGGTAAACAAAATGTGTATCACATAAGCCATGTCTGGTCTACCGTCTTTTCTTTAGCACATTATATGTTTGTGCATAGTAATTTGATTGGGGGAAATTGGCATTGTCAGGTATGGAATGCTCTAATTGTTGGTGGAGCTGTCAATTTCTGTCTGTATATACGCCTCTTTTTTGTTTACATTGATGTTTGCCTGACCAAGAGCTTGAAGGTCCAAACGTTGCATTTAAAGAGCACTCCACAGATTCAGCATTTAACTCCAAAAACATTGTTGGATTCACAGAAAAAGGTCAAAAGCAATACAGGAGAATGATATATTTTTCATCTTTTTTATTCCAAGCGTTTTTCTTCTTGGTCACAACCAGGGACCTACATTTCCCACAATGCAACTCAACTGCCAAAAGCTGGGTTGGAGATTCGGGTGTGTTATGCTAGTAGCAGCTAATGTACTGTGATGTACTAATGTGTAACTGTTGTGAAGCTCAGTGTGGTCGACTATGGCCGTCGCCATCTTGGCAGTCCTGACTCAACCAATTAGCTAATTAACTAGCTATAGAGATCAAAACTGTTTTTGTACCAGACTTTGAACATGTTTTTTTTTTTTGCTTTAAATTTGAGCATTTTAATATGGGGCCTTATGGAGAGAGTGATCACTTCTAAAGCCAGCCTCAAGTGGCCCTTAGAGGAACTGCTTTTTGTTACTTCCATGTTGGTTTCATTTGCCAGCCACAGAGGTTGTCCTGGCCTCAAACAGAGATGAAGAGCGGTCTACAGAGGTCCGGTAAGCTCACTTCTTTCTAACCAAAATTTTTTTCATTTTCTAAACTCCAGCCTCAACTGACACTGACCCAAGTGACATCACTTGAGGCATTTTTTATGAGATTCTGTGCACCTAACTCTTGAGCCACAAAATGCTTTATATAACTTTTTCCACATATGCAGCAGTCCTCCTCAAGACCAAACAGACCTTGATATGTTCCTCGTTAAAATTTTGGTAGCTTGAATATATTCTGTCCACGTCATTACACATACAGGATAGCTCATACTGCAGATGTCACACAGTCCTTCTGAATGCATGCAGAGGATGATATAGAGCAGAGTTGATCCATAATGGACCAGATAAATATTTCATACAGAGAGACTGTTGATGTTTAACAAACAGGGTTTATGATTTTGTGTATCCAAAGCAGCATTGCATGTCTCCTGTAGGTAACACTGCTGTACCTTCAGCTGCAGAACAGTACACATTATAATTTTGTTGACACGGGAGGATTGCGTCGTGCAAACAAATACATTAATTATACAACCTCTTTTTTTCATCTGAATATGCTGCATTACTGGTTTGCCACAGGCTGGCTGTGGAGTGAAGGACGTTGCTGATGTAACAGCTAGTGAGGCTGAACACATGGATAATGAACCTATAAAATTTTCTTTGGCTCAATGTAGTTTGGGTTAACAGCTTTATTGTTTTACCCTTTCTGGTTGAAGAAGGTTCGCAGCATTCATCACCTGAAAAATTGAGGCTCAAGGTACACGTATGCTAGTAATAAATTACCTTACTAAGGAGATAACAATTGACCTTGACAGGAAGGAAACGAGTTAGCAAGTAATCTCTTAGCCAACACGGAAAGGTAAGGATATTGAGGGTGAATAACAATTAGAGGGTATTAGTTTTCAGCAATCCTCATTCTGACATCCATAGCTACCATTTAGTGTTTTTTATACAGCACAGGGTCTGATGGGACAAGAGCCGTACTATGGTTTACTTATAAAAGTATACCTTTTGTGATTCATCCGCTTACATGTAGTTTTGTATATTATGTCTTATTCAAATGCTGACCACTTACCATTATTAATTGTTATGTTTTCCTCTATGGTTAAACCCATTTACTTGTTATCTGCACAGACAGCCCAACCTAGACAGTCTGAAAATGCATCATATAAAAACAACTGTAATCAATACCTGGAAGAACAATAAACCCATTATATCCTTTCACCAACACATGGTGATAAAAAGATGATGTGGCGTTAAAATTGGACAGTGGAGTCAATGGTCGAGCAGTTTGTGGGCACAAATAGCTTTATTTGTGCCCTCAAACACTAAAGGCGCCTCAGCTCATGTGTGGATGAATGTTTCACATTCTGTTATTGTGAATGTGTGTGTGTGTGTGTGTGTGTGTGTGTGTTTGTGTGTGTGTGCGTGTGTTAAATCACAGCCTTCAGTCATGCGTGGTTCTTCCCGTGCTTCACAGCAGATCCACTACCACAAGCAGTTTCTCCGTGTTTCAACAAAGTGGGTTAGTTTAAAGGCTCACAGCACTTTGCATTAGCTTCTCCTCCAGCTCACCTGTATGTCTAATAATATGCTTCTCTGCCATTCTCATAAAATAGGATTCTCCTGCAGACACAGTTAGTCTTTAGCTAGAAAATCATGATAATTGGGTAGAATAATCTCTGGTGATGGACTGGCTGTGCATACACATGTGAGAGACCGTCACTAGTGAAGCTTGCTGAATCTATCACACTTAACATCCACTCTGGCCTGACAAGCAATGTAACACCAAATTAGGCAGTTATATAGTGGTGGTATGGGAGGTGTGCATGCTGCTGAGGATTGTTGTTGGTTGTTATATGATCCATCCATCTATACTATATGTGCAACACTGGTAATGGGTGCTCCATCCATCTATACTATATGTGCAACACTGGTAATGGGTGCTCAATTACCAGTGAGGAAAATAAGGGTGTATAAGGGTATCCTCTGTTTACCCGCATATTGGCCATGCAAAAACCTCATGACTCAGACTATAGGGTGTCTTTATTTAAATCATGAGTTGACAGATTTAATTGTCCTCTGTGGGCTGAGAAATCTTGATCAGTAAGATTTGTTAAACCCAATTAAAACAGATCTGGTCTGAGTTTCTTATAGTATTTCCTAAACAGCTGAAATTTGGCGATACAATTAGTTTTCACCTGGCAGACATGAGCATTGTCAGCTCCAGGAAATATCTATGTAATGGTGGAGAAGCTGAGGCGTATGTACCAAATGTGCTGTATAACATGGTAAAATATATACACACACATACTGTACCTTTGTTAGTCTGGGTTTAAGATATATGTATAATCCAGGTGATTTCCAGTGATAGATACATTTAAATGCATACATTATTAATTGCTTTAAATGAACATACTTAAAGGAACAGTTTGACATTTTGGGGAAATACATTTGCTCGCTCTATTTCAGAATTAGTTGATCGATAGCTCTCT